TAAACACTGGTCCTCTCTGTATTAGGCCGGGATGTAGTTCAGGGGTAGAGGCTGGCTCAGCATAGAAGGCCCAGGTTCAAACCCTGGCATCACAAACCAGACAAAACAAAAATCCTCTCCACATTGAAAGTAGGCATTCACCAGGTGCCTCAGAATGAACCTCTCTTTCCAGATATATGGCTAAAGCATAAATGTGTCGTGATTTTTTGGAAGCCTAAATGGTCCTCTAAGCTTTTAGATATTCCATTTCTTTAAATCTCTTGGCAAGAAACAGCTCAATGACTAAATGAGGAATGTTAAAGTTTTGTGTGTTGATCTCCTTGGAGGATGGGTTTGGAAGGAGAGTATGGTGATGGGGAAGAGTGAGATCAGAACATGGCGGACATATTTCTGAGGCTGCTTCAACATGCCCTGCATTGTGTGGACTAAACTGCTAAAAAAATACTCTTGATAAGCTGGGTACAGTGCACACCCATGGTCCTGGCAATTCAGGAGGCTGAGGAAGGAGGACCATTTTAACGCAGGAGTTCAAGGTCAGCCTCAGCAACATAGCAAGACCCTGTCTCTTTAAAAAAAAGAGAAATTAATTTAAAATATATATATATATATATATACACACATATGTAAGTATATACACATATATATGTATATATACATATTCTCTTCCTAATCTGAAATTATTTTTCAAGGAAAAGAAAAAGCCACACTTATTTGAAATTATAGCAATAAAAAGCCTGTGAAGTTGTGAAAAATATTGAAGAATGTACTTCAAAGAACATACTTACCGACCTTTATAGGAAAAGGCATCTGATTTTGCCCCCTTTGGAACTGTAACCCCTAAATTATTTCCAGTAGTTTCCTTAGAACATTTCTACTTTGTTTTTACTGAATACTCAAGTTCTTCTCCATAGAGAATACTTCCTTTTATTTTTTTGTTACTGTTTCAGTTTGCAATTTTTCAGCTCTTTTTCTCATAGCCATTAATAATCCCTATTCCTGAGCCCCCAAGGAAGCAATTTTATCCAAGTTTTGTTTGTCAAACACAAATAACAAATGTTTCCAGCTGCCCACAGTTGCTCACTGTGAACCCTTAAATCTACTTGTGATTTTTTTCAGGCTGAACCATGTATCTCTTGCCCCTTCATCATTCCAATTTGGACATCTATTATTATACCAGATCACAATCCAAAAAAAACACTGGAGAACCCACTGGGACCAATCAATGAAACAAAGTCAGTCTAGTCACCCCCCAGCATAGACAGGGGTCAAGCAGGCTCCAGAGAGAGAGCCCAGGGCACCCAAGGTGATGCTGACTATCTACCTATATGCTAAGTTGGAAGCCATTGAGGTATTTCAGAATGACCTGTGATATTTTTTGAAGAAAGCAGTAACTGGGAAAGAAGTAGAACAGTATCGTTGTAGTATATCATATTTTGTAGATGGAAAATAAAAATTAACAGACTTCATGTTCCAGAAAAGGAACTCTGCCAAATTGTAACCATAGTTACACCTCAATTAGCTCTGCAGACTCAGGCCAAGAAATGCTGACCCATAAAGCCTGATTAAAGCTTGAAAATGCTCACTTAATTAACTCTTCAAAGTTCCCCCTTCTTGAAGCTTTTGACACAGGAACAAATTAGTGGCAAAACCATCAGACTGAACTCTTATCTCTTTTTCAGACACCTGCCCAGAACTCTGAGAACGGGGCTAACAACTTTGACATGTGGAGAAACCGAAGAAAAATAGAAGATCTGGTTACCGCTAAAATGCAATAATAATGGGGCAGGGGTTGTAGCAGAGCGCTTGCCTAGCATGTGTGAGGCACTGGGTTTGATCCTTAGTACCACATAAAAATAAACAAATAAAATAAAGGTATGCTGTCCATCTACAACTACAAAAAAAAAACACATTTTTTTAAATAAAATGCAATCATGAGTCCATGAACAACAAAGGGGATGATTATACTAAAATAATACAATACCATGCTAGATCACTAGAGAAGATCGTGATCGCTCTTTATGGTAACACTATGCTGAATTTTAAAATGCACAGCCTTGACTTTTTATACCAAATGCTTCTGAATAACTATGTATGAATAACTTTGGAAAAGAAGCCCACCCAGTAACAATTTGCTAAAAGAATGGCCCTCTTGTCTTGAGAATTAACCCCTGCTTCCTCAGTAGGCTAAAATCAAGTTGCATTTATTGTATTTGCATAAACAAGACATATCTAGAATTAGGCAATAACTAAACCCTCTGAGTTATGGAGTCTACTTTTGAAAAAATATAAGCTACAATATGACCATATTCAAAGTAAACCACGTCTTCATTCACATCTCTTCAGAATGAGGTTTCAGGCCTGTCACACTGATATTCTGCAGTGTGGCTGCACCAAAATGTCTGGAGAGTGCTAAAAGCCCCATATCCCAGGAATGATCATACAGCTTTGTGTTTTTGTAGTGCAGCACCCTCAAAGTTCCTGTCCATTGGGTATCTCTTAGCCTCACCAAAGCCCTGTGAGGTAGACTTATCTACCTTAGCAGGTGTCATTCTGCTTATTGGGCAAATGCAGCATGTGAGGCTCACAGAGTTGAAATAACTGGTTTCAAGTCACAAGGGAAATTAGATGCAGAGCCCAAAGGGCTGCCCCACCTCTGGACACCTTCCACTTAATACCTTACTACCAACCTTCTGCATGGAAGGGACTTGGTCTTCCTTCAATGGTTGAAGTTTAACCACACCTGAAAGAATGGGTTCTTGAGCTCAGCTGGACTCAATGATCAGATTTGACCTCTTTTTAGGAACTGAAAATCTATTTACCTTTCTGAAGAACCAGGCCCAGAATCCTAGGTCCTGTAAAAGTGATCAGACCCCCTCATGGGGCCAGATTGGGTGCCTGGCTCACTTTAGGGTTCTTGAGCTGCAGGATATTCCTCGGGGACACAGAAGTTGAGAGGTCTGAGAGTTAGATCTTCTAACCCCAGCTCCAGCTAACTCACTTGAACAAGGACTTCCTCTACCTGAGCCTCACATCACTAATCTGGAAAATTACAGGCTAATTTAAATAATTGCAAAGGTTCTTCCTAGTTCTACCAAAGTCCAATGCTGGATATTCATCTCTGCCCAGAAACATAATCCTTTTACATTCTACTCCAAGGTTTCCCATTTTAATTTCAGCCCCCTCTTCTATTTCTACAAGTTGGTATCATTTTATTCATGCCTCTCTGTTTATGCTCTCCAATATTTCCAAGTTATCATGTCTCCTCCGGGTCATCAGTTGGCAATTTCCATGCATCCTTTAACTCCATAAGTTAAAACCCCTTCAGCAATGTACTATGTTTTTTGTGTGTGTGTGTCTTTCTCTCCAAATCCCCACCCATCTAGCTAGTAATATGGCCATGAAATTTATTCAACTTTTCAAGACACTTATTCTCTTTTTTCTTTGTACTTCCGTTTTCCAAAATATATAAACATCTCAACACTTACTTTGCCTTCTTTTGACAAGTGTGCTCTTCCTCTTTGTTTCTGCCTTTCCGTGTTTTCTTGTGGGGGCTGTTTTCCTTTGTCTTTCTTGGTTCTATCTTCACTCCTCCTGCCACCTTCAGTGACTCCCCCCAGTGAAAAGCACAACTACACAGGGTACCAATCCAGGGACAAGAATGGTATAAAGAGATAGGAGTATACAGGAGGGGAGAGAGGACTGGGCCCGGCCACTCTGCCAAGACATGAATGGAGAAGCCATGGGCCTGGTGCCACTGCAATCCCATATTAACCGTCCCCCGCTTTGTTTTCCCAGAATGAGAAGTAGAAGTATATTTCCAGAAGGAGAAATGCTAAAACAATGAGGGAGCCAGAGCAGCTGGTGGTTGTTAACTTTAATCAACGTCCAGCCAGGGTCTGTTTTTATGCAACAGGAAATAGATTCATTATCTTTCATAGTCTTCTCTCTCTCTCTCTCTCTCTCTCTCTCTCTCTCTCTCTCTCTCTTCTCCTCTCTATCCTTCATTATTTCTGGCTAAGGCATAGAAATAAGCTGGTCAGAATAAACATCATTTCTCTTAAGCTTTCCTTTAAACTACAGCATTTACTTGCATTTCAAAGCCAAACTGCAGAGTCTGAGAAGCCTGATCCAAGCAAAGATTACCATCTGCAGCAGCCCAGGAGGCAGAGCAGCAAGTATTAGTTCCCAACGGCTGCTGTAACAGATCACCACAAACATGGCGGTTGAAACAATACAAATTTCTTCTCTCTCTGTTCTGGAAGCCAGAAGTCTGAAATCAGCTTCAGTGGACAAAAATACAGGTGTTGGAGGAACAGCTGTTGCTCTGGAGGCTCTGAAGGAGGAATCTATTTCCTTGACTTCTTCCGTTTCTTGACTCCAGGGCCCTTCCTCCTCCTTCCGAGCATGTCACTTCAATCTGTACTTCCATCATCACATCATCTTCTCTCAAGCTCTTCAATTTAATGCCATCTGCAAAAAGTCCTTTCTGCCATATAAAGTAACATTCAGGTGCTAGGAATCAGGTGTTGATGTTTGAGGAGCCATTACTCAGCCTACCCCAAAGCACATGTGTGTGGCTGGGTTTCTGGGAAAAGTCCCCCCACCCCTTTCTCATCCACAAATACAAAGTAATGACCACAAGGCCTGAGCCACAGGGGGACACAGCGAAGAAGATGGATTCTAAACACCAACATGGAGAAATCCCACGTCTCTTGCTCCTGTCTTGTCACAGATTTACCTTTCCTGTCACATTCGGCTAATAAGCTGCCCGTTTCATATCCAGCAGGCGCATAAACATCCCATCACTCCCCCATTCCTCGGCCATCATCCGCCTGTTACATAGAAACTCAATTTCCAACCAAAACTGAATCTCAGTACCACAAATGTTCATGTGTGTCGAGGTCCCTCAATGATCCTGTTATTTGTGACAGTCTCTGAGGGTCAAATACTGTGTCCAGGACTGAGGCCAGGAGAAGGAATGGGGCTTTGTTAGAACTTACCAAACCTCTTGTAACCGAAGGACTGCACCTCCTCCTCCTCTGCGAAGTCGTCTGTAAAAGAAAAGACAAAGCTTTAACCTTGGCAAAGGGCACACAGCACCTGGTGGACCAGGACTCAGGGCTCTGATCACAACCAGCTCCACCCTCCCCTTCACCCCCCAGGCCCATCACAGTGGCTTTCCTGCTGCTCCCAGGTCACCTCAGACTTCCTAAGAAGGGGCCTGGGGACTCTGAACCAGCTGTTCCCACTGCCTGGATTGCTCTTCCTCTTTTCTTTTTTCTAGTTCTGGGGACTGAACCCAGGGGCACTTAAAACACTGAGCCACATCTCTAGTCTTTCGAGACAGGATCTTGATAAGTTGCTCAGGGCCTCAGTTGAGGAAGCTGGCTTTGAACTTGCAAACCTCCTGCCTCCGCCTCCCAAGTCACTGGGATTACAGACATGTGCCACCATGCCAAGCTATCTTCCTCCTTCCTTCATGGGTCTTTTTCCAAGTCAGACCTCAGCTAAAGTGTGACTCCTTTAAGATGCCTTTCTGGACCACCCAGCCATTTCTCATCATAATGCCTTATTTCAGTATCACTCTCTGATAGTGTCCTCCTGACTTTATATGCATATTTGCCTTTTAGTTTATTATTGTCATCATAATTCCCGTGAGCAGAAACTTTTTTTTAAAGAGTCACATGATTCTGCAATCTGTATATGGGGTAAAAATGGGAGTTCATAACCCACTTGAATCAAATGTATGAAATACGATATGTCAAGAGCTATGTAATGTTTTGAACAACTAATAAAAAAATAAAATAAAGATTCTTGATCCTGTAAAAAAAAAAGAGTCACATGAATAAACCCCCAAGTCCTAGAATAGCACTTCTCACAGAGCAAAGGCTTAATAAATGTTAAATGGCTAGGCGGGGAGGGACATGCCTGCAATCCCAGTAACTTGGTAGGCTGAGGCAAGGAGGATCCCAAGTTTGAGTTCAGTCTCTGCAATTTAGCAAGACCCTGCCTCAAAATAAAAAATAAATACAAAGGGCTAGGAGTATAGCTCAGTGATAAAGTGCTAGAAGGCTCACTTCCCAGTACCAGGAAAAAAAAAAATGTTGAATGAAGGATCAACTCTCCAAAGGGTTATCTTATCTATTAAGTAGATAAGTTAAATTAAGTTATCTTATCTTTAAAGCTCTCCTTTTCAGATGTCTGGGCTCTGGAGTCAGAGCTTCCACCTATTATCACAGTGCTTCAGAAGCCCAGTATAACTCCTGCAATGACAGCCACACCCTTTTCCACTGTCCTGTTGAGTAAATGGACCCAACCACACAATTGCCAGTAAATGCACTTTAACACATAGGCCCTCTGTGGGAATTCCTAAATGTAGAACCACTGTGAAAACTAAAGAGATGTTATCTCAACCAAGCTTCCTGCCAAAAGGTGTAAACTGGCCCTCCCAATGTGGACAGGACACCATTCCTCACCACTGATAAGGAACTTCCCGATTTACAGTCCCACCAGGTGTGGCTCTGCATAGGGCAAGCACTATGCAGATACAATTTCATATTAATTGTGCAATGAAGAGACAGTTTTGATGACAAGTAAGAGGCGTCAGGCCAGGTCTTCCCAGGAGGCCCTGACCAAATCAGATGTTCTTCTCTTACAATAGGGTTATATCCTGATAAACCCACTTTAAGTTGAAAATATCAACTTACATGTAAGTCAAAAATTCCTTTAATACAACTAACCTACCCAACATCATAGCTTAGCAACAGTATACCATATTTGCTGTTTCCCCTCATGATCATGGGACTTACCACGAACTGGGACTCATAGCTACTGACCAGCCTCATCAGAGAATACTTACTGGGCTGCATGTCACCTAGCCTGTATTTCAAATTTTGAAATATGATTTCTATGGAATGTGTATCATTTTTCACCATTGTCAAGTTGAAAAACTATTGAAAAATCATTAAGTTCAATAATTATAAATCAGAGACCCTGTATTCTTGAGTTGGCCACTGTTACTATTCAAGCTTTCAGCCTTCTCCCTGTGGGCAGGTCAGCTCGGGGGCATGGATCCAGCTCTCAACTATGGGTCAGAGACTGCTTCAGAGATGAGGTAGGTCATGGTCCTTCTCTCTAAAACGTGACTGACTTTCATGAAATCTCACGCAGAGAGAAACTAAGCTTCTGTGATAGTCTTTTCCAACCCCCAAACAGGCCCTGGCTATATCTGAACCTCAAAATGTTATGGAGAACCCATGATGTGTGGTATCTATAACACAAGGGAGAAAAATGGTTTGCTATAGTGAGTTATAAAAACACACGTGAGAGAGCAATTATTTCTAACGGAATGGAGAGGTGTGATCATCTTTGTGTTTCATCATTGTGTCCTTCTGCTGAGGACAGGGAAGAGATCTCAATTTGGAATCTTGAAAGCCAGGCATTTCTAATCAAAGTGGTCTTCTCATGACAGAGATTAGAGCTTTAGTTCTTTCTGCATGGAAAACAAGAGAATAGCTCTTTTCTTGCTGTCTTGGTGACTGGTTAGTTCAACAAACACAAATCAAGCTCTTACTCTGTCTCTGTTTTACTTAGTAATCTATCAAATTAATGGCTGAGGCCTGGTCTATTCTCAGTTAAAGAGAAACCCTTATCTGCCACTTCTGCTTGGAAATCCATTCATTTGTTTATTCATTCACTCAGTACATGTGGTTGTCCCTTAGCATCTTCTGGGTACCCACAGATACTTAAGTCCCTCATAAAACGGTACAGTATTTGCATGATACTACACATACATTCTCCTGCAGACTTTAAATCGTCTCCAGATTGCTTACAATACTTAACATGATGTAAATAACTGCTATGCTGTATTGTTTGGGGAATAATGACAAGAAGTCATTAGATTTTTAGTGCAGATACAATATTTTTTTAAGTATTTCAATCCACAGTTGCTTGAATTGAAGAATGCAAAACCTGCTGATATAGAAGGCCAACTGCATATGCTTCAAACCTAGCCAAGTCAGTGAGAGGCCACCCAGGCGTCAGCTCTCCCTCAGTCTGAAGCCCCTCCACCACCACATCGCCTCGGCAACGGGAACCACTCACACTGTGGGCCAAGGAAACATCACTGATGGTTTCATAAAAAAATTAATAAGAAGAGCAGGTTTATGCCACACCCCCAATAGCAAACAGCTCAAAAATTTCCCATTAGATGTTTCTGTTCTCCCCCCAGAGCTTCTTTCAAACAGGGCTGCCATTAGTTTATTTGTTTGTTTGTTTTCTTTTCCCTTTCTGAAATTTTTCCCATGCAGTATTTAGCCCAACTGACTCCTCTCTCCTTCCTGAAACTTCCCTGGGAACTGAAATTTCTCACATTTTTGTTATTAAAGCAGTTCAGTCCTGCCTCTACTTCCTTCTCCAAATTAGTATCCTCAAGCCCACTAGGGGCTCAAGGAAACAATGGCCTAACTGGCCACCCACCCACATTAGGACTCACAGAGGGTCCCCTGGCTTCTTGCCTTACTGTCATCCCAAAAGGATTAGCCATTTTTTTTAACAGCTACTAAAGAAATAAATTTAAAAAAAAATGTCTCCATCTCACCCACATCTAAAGTAGATGGAAAATCATGAGATGTGAGGAGTACCAAAGAAGTACTACAAATCACTTTAAACTGGGAGTCTCAGGAAAGGTCTTGTAGAGAAATATTTCTTAAATGAGTCCTTCTCCATGTTTTTCTTTGAGTGTGGAGAAGGGCAATTAGAAAATGATATATACTAGATCTCTACCTTGGAAGTTCATAATCGTTTTTTGAACTATTTGAGATTCTAAGAAGGGTTAAAAAAGGGTGGAGGGGGGACTTGCTTAAATTTGTTTTATGCAATATTCTCAAATGTTGATTCTAGAATCCTGTTTCTTATCCTTCAAAGTTAGGACGGTAGAGGTCAGATTGTTTGTCAGCTTTTAGTCACTGTAACAAATATCTGAGATAACCAACTTGTAAAGAAAGAAGGTTTAGTTTGACTCGTGGTTTCAGCGGTTCCGGTTCATGCTCCATTGAGTCTGTTGCTTTTAGGCCTGTGACAAGGTTGCATAATCTGGTGGGGAGCTTGTGGTGAAGCCAAACCACTCGACTCCTGCCCAAAAAGTAAAAAACTGAAAATTGAAGAGACCAGGACCTCACAATCCCCTTCAAGGTCATGCCCCCAAAGACCTAAAATCTCCCGGTAGGCTCTACCTCTTACAGTTTCCACTCTCTTCCAATATTGCCAAGCTGGGGACTAAGCATTTAACAGGTGGGACTTTGAGGAACATTCCAGACCCAAACTATACCATTTGGTATATAGTTCATTAGCTGAGCTGCCCTGTCAAAGCCCAGGGTCAATTTTTTTCTAGCTGCTCAGTTAAAAAGCAGTATAAGTCAGGCTGATGGTAGGGTTGGGCTTTGAATGACTTCAGGAAGAAAAAATGGGCAAAAGCTCATGGAGCTGGTGATTGCAGAGACAACCTAGATCATGGTTCAAAGGCCACAGGAGTTGGAATGAACAGTCAGCGTTCCTAGCAACTGAGCATTTTGGAGGGCAAAAGGCTATGGTGGAGCCCCTAACCACTGACAGACAGGTTTCATTTATGATATAAAACCCAATAAATATTATGCACATTGTTGTATTCTGCAAACCTTTTCCTCACACTGTGTGGACCCAAGTTAAGTGTGTCCCAGATTGTCTTTTTAATATCTGGGCCTACAAAGGTGACACACTCAGGTGAGGATTTTCTTTGGAGCCCAGTCTCCTCAGCAACTTGCCATTCTCCAAAATTTGTCTCTGAGAGTCAAAGCCACCTAATCTGTCACACTCTTGTACAGACAAGGAGCTAGACACAATTTCAGCCTCTGAGTTCTGCAGAGGAACCATAACTTGATCTCTGCTTCTGACAGCAGTTTGTCTGTGGGGAAGAAGCAACTTTCACATATTAAACAACAAAAACAGTGTTTAAGTTTTCTATCTTGGCTTCCACCACTGTACTTTAGCATTTTTGCTTTAATACCTATGAGCT